GGATTAAAGCATAGAGGAGCAGGCCAAGCGAAACCAGACGGCCACCTTCTTTCCGTCTGATCACGTACTACGACATGCTTTTGTCTTGGCTCTCTCTCTCTCTCTCTCTCTCTCTCTCTCTCTCTCTCTCTCTCTGTGTGTGTGTGTGTGTGTGTTTTCAAGATCCAAAGAGAGACGGCACGGGATTCGATAAGATCGCACTGTCTTGCGTTGGAACACGACGGCCTCGCTCGTAGCCGGGCGAGACAAATTAAAGCGTACGTAGGCCGTGGAAACGGAGTGGATTAGCTGAGCATAGCTACGAGACGGCACTCATGGCGCCAGCCAGGGATCTCGAATCGAATCGAATCCGGGTTGAGCTCGACCTCTCCCCGTAACTCCCGGAGCCTCCATCCTTTGTTGGGTTTCTTGGCTCCCTCCGTTGAATGTTGTGATGGCCATCACCAGACTCTATCGGCAGGGGAAGTGAAGACAGCGGAATTTTGGCCGTGCAGGAATTTCGCGATCGAACGGTGTCGTCAACTTCTGATGATGAACTGCTTGACCATGATGTACTGCATTTCTTTTCGGATATCCTTTTGTCTTGTGTAACGAATCACCGTATTTTCTCAGCTAAAGGAAGTTGTCGTCTTCTCGCAGGAGCTAACAAAATATCTTATATTCAACTATGTTATGTTATGATCCAAATTTAAGTATAAAGATAAATTTCTGGCCGACTACGGACATGGTATCTGACATTAAGAATGTGAAATTAACTATCTCATCCTCGCCGGAAGAGGTGAGTAGGGCGATCGCCTCTATGAAGGCGGGGATCGGCACCGGGGCCCGACGGCCTGCCAGTTGCCTTCTTCCGGAATTTCTGGAATGTCCTAAAGCCAGTGATCATGCCGATGTTTCATGAATTCTATATTGAAACATTTGACATGTCACGGATAAACTTTGGAGTCATCACCATGATCCATAAAGTAGTTGGGGCGACGGACATTAGGCACTTCAGGCCAATCACAGTTATCAACGTTCTCGAGCGCATTTTCTCAAAAGTCTGCGCGACTAGATTAGCACCGGTCGCTGAGCGGCTGGATCACCCCTTTCATACGGCATTTCTGTAGGGACAACGGATTCAGGACGGGATCATGGCCTTTCATGAGATTGACCACGAGGTGCGGACGCGCGGATATAAGGGTGTCTTTCTCAAGCTGGATTTTCAAAAAGCCTATGATAGGTTGGACTAGACCTTCTTGCGGCTAGTCCTACAGCGCAAAGGCTTTGAGGACAGATGGTGCAACTGGATTATGCAGTTTGGTGTGGTCTGGTAACGCGGCGATTAATATAAATGGTGAGATGTGGCCATTCTTTACGTCCTCCATGGGAGTGAAGCAAGGGGACCCGATCTCCCCTCTTCTCTTCAATCTCGTTGTTGATGCGTTAGCGGGAATCTTGGATAAGGCTAGGAGGGCAGGTCAGCTCTTGAGGGTAGTTGGTCACCTAATCTCTGGGGGAGGGGTCATTCACCTTCGATATGTTGATGACACCATGATTATGGTGGAGGGGTCCAATCTCGACATCGTCAATCTTAAGTTCCCACTCCTCTGCTTTGAGGCTGTGCCGGGACTAAAGATTAACTTTGACAAGAGTGAGGTTGTCATCCTGGGATTCCCTGCGGAGGAACAACAACTGATTGTCGACAATCTAGATTGCAGACTAACCTCATTCCCCATTACATACTTGGGAATGCTGATGGCCGACTCGAAGATTCTGATGAGTACATTCGATCCATTGGTGGGATGAGTGGCATCTCGGGCCGAGCCTTGGCATGGGTTGTTTACTTCAAATGGGAGCAAATCGGTCCTTGTTAGTTCTAACCTAGAGAGCCTCTCCATGTACATGATGGGGTTGTATATCCTACCCGAGGCCGTTCACAATGACTTCTGTAAGGACCTCGCTAGGTTCTTCTGGCAGGCGGCCAATGGTCACCAAAAGTACACATGGTAAAGTGGGCGGATATATGTATGCCTAAGGACCATGGTGGCTTGGGCGTTACTGCGTCCCACCGCATGAACATTGCGTTCATGCTGCGACGGGTCTGGTGGATCCTACGCGGCGAGGGAGGGTTATGGTTACAACTCAGTCAGGAAAAATACCTTGGGTGAGCCGCTCCTGGCATGCGTCCGGCTGGGTGGTTCACAATTCTGGCGTTCCATCCAAAGGTTCAAGGTCCATAGGGAATGGGCACGGGGATCCAATTTTGGCCCGACCCCTGGTCGGGTATCGAGCCACTGCGTGTGTGCTTTTCTGGCTTGTTCTGGATCTGTGTGGACCCGTCTCTACGAGTCTCCACGGCCTTCCAAGTTGGACAGTGGAATATCCGATTCCGTTGCACCTTCCAAGTTCCGCACCACTGGACTAGATTACGGGCCGCCCTACCACTAGTGCTACCGGACTATCCAGACACGGTGTCCTGGCGGCTCGCGCCAACGGCAGAATATTCGGTGAGCACGGCATACCATGCCCTATGCCATCCACCTACCACCCATGGCTTTCTCCGTCGTGAAAAGCCCCCTTATCCTCAAAGATTAATATTTTCGTGCGGCAGTTATTACAGGATCGCCTCATCTCGGGGATAGAGGTACTTAAGCGGCACGGGCTGGTGATGGCCTATGCTCCCTCTGTGTAGTACCTCAGACTGGGACCCATATCCTTTTCTCCTGTATGGCGTCGCGACTGTTATGGACATTCGTCCGAGAGGCCGTCGCGGAGTTTCTCCAACATAGAGTGATGCAGCAGTCGCGACATTGCCATCTATTTTGGCTTATTTTTGCGACGATGTCATGGACTCTTTGGACGACTCGTGATAAGATGGTGATTGAGAAGGTCTTTCGGAGGAAGGCATCTGATTACTTCAAATTTCTTGCTTTTGCAGCATTGGCAACCGCTCTCGAGGCAGCGTGATCGTGACCGGCTCGGCCTCATGATGGATGCGCTCCTGGCTTCAACACGTCGACTATCGTCGTCTTTTTTTTCTTCTATTTCTTCTATATTTTCTTGGGCATGAATGTGTTGTGGCCTTAGCTGTCGCTTTTCAGGTGATGTTCGGATGTTGGTTGTATGAATCGTTGCTTTATTTATAAAGCTGGGTAGGTAAAAGTTTATTTTGAAAGAGATTTGCCTGCGTATCTCTAACAAACTGGATTGGTAATACAACATCAACGCATTGCTATCACGAGCAACGTTCTGATAGCGTACGTACCGTGTGATGAAGTGCTAAGAATTTGACAGTAACAGGAAGCAGGATTTTCCGTCTTCAGTTCTGATATATGTGAAGTAAAGTACATGTCTGCTACATCAAGTAAAAATTAGCTAAATTGGTATATGCGAGTGTGATTACTGTCAGAGATGTCCATAACGTGTGATATGGCTTACTACTACAAAGCTAATACTCTGACACCAAGCAGCTTCAGAATGTAGCCCCTTTCTGAGTTGGAATTGTCTGAATCACTACGCTCCCGACACCTGGCAAAACTAATGTTTGTTCCATGGGGCAAAATGACAGACTGCACATGTCAAATTCTTCTCTTGGCTGGCCTTACAAGATCGGATTTGGACCGCCGACAGGCTAGAGCGACGTGGCTGGGACAACTGCGGTCTTTGCCCGCTCTGTAAGCAGGTGCAGGAGTCGGGCGTCCACCTATTCGCCAAATGCCGCTTCACCTTGAGGCTTTGGCGGATGCTCATTGACAAGTATGGGCTTGCGCATCTGGACCCTTCTGACTGGCACCTTGAGGATTCCCTCCTCTCTTGGTGGGACAAGCGCACCAATTCGAGCATTCCGGATCGTCGAGCCATGGCCTCCCTTACCATGCTCGTATCCTGGACAATTTGGAACGAAAGGAACGCTAGAGTCTTCCGCCACAAAGGGCCGCCACCGCCAATCCTTCTCAAGTTTATTATAGATGAGGCCAACCTATGGGTTACTGCAGGGGCTAAACAATTAGGGAAAATTGTATCTCGTGAGTAATTGTCATGCCGTACCTCGGCCTTGTGTAACTCTACAAAACTCTATTCTCCTCTACTTTAATAGATGAGGCAAATCTTTTGCCTCCGTTTCAAAAAAAATAAAAAAAATGTTGTTCTCTGGAACCAAAACCGACAGCTGGATAAAAGGGACGACAAACCAGAAAAATAATAGGCGTAGTACGAATACTGCCCTAGCTAGTGGATATGGGGTTCTGTGAGCTGATGAGGAAGAGAATTAGTGGCAAGCTGCCAACTGCAGAGGTTCCACCTTCCCTTTATCCAAGTGGAGCTCCCCTGGGCCACAGTAACACCCACAACAGACCAACCAAATTACCTTGCTCTTTCTGGAAGGTGCTCCTGCCGCTTGAGCTCCCCTTCAGAAATTTCTGGTAGGAACCCTAGAAGAAGGCAAGACCAACCTAACAACGCTGATCATGTCTCGTACAGTCGTACTGATCGGTAGAGTAACCGGTCCATGTTTACAGTATTGCTCTTTCGAGCCACACGTCTACACCCCTTTGACAATTCATTCACTCACCCGGACATGGCTGTCACTGTTACCCAACCACCGTGTCCCTGAATGGCCTCAGCACATCACCTGGTGCTGGTGATGTGCTACAAAGCGGCGCCTCATTCCACCTTTTCATTTTGATCGCGGCGAACAAATGGGCAGCCTTTTGGAGGCATGCACATTTTCCAAAAGCTGGCAGCATGATGATAAAACAACGTTGCATGATGCCCGTCAAGACCCCCGCTAATCTGATCCCAGTCTGGCAGTCTCAGTCCCAATCCCATGTCGTTATGTACGGAGTAGCAGTATGTGCAAGCTAAGCTAAGCTCTGGCGACGTGGGTCCTGTAGCTGCTGCACATCTCCACTATAAATCTGCCCTCTCGCCTCCGTAATCACAGGCCACTCTCTTCGCCCTCGCCTCCGTTCCGCTCCACACCTAACACCTAGCTAGCTAGCTCGACCGACCGAGCGAGCATGTACCCCGCCGAGCTCGCCAGCGTCCCGTACCTCTCCGCTGCGACTGCAACGGCGGCCTTCAGGCCTCATTGCCAGGTGGCTCCGGACGACTTCCTCTTCCAGTACGGCGGCGGCGGGCTCATGGTTCCTCGGGCGTCGTCCTACCAGCAGCACGACGTCGTCGGCCAGCTGCTCCACGAGGCCGCCGCCGGCGGCGGCCTCCTCCTCCCGTTCGGGGCCAGGCCGTCCAACTCGGACGAGTCGGACGAGTGCCACCACCACCACCACCAGGCGGCGCGCTGCGGCGGCAGCCTCGCGGAGGAGCGGCGGCGGCGGCGGATGGTGTCGAACCGGGAGTCGGCGCGGCGGTCGCGCATGAGGAAGCAGAAGCAGCTGAGCGAGCTGTGGGCGCAGGTGGTGCACCTCCGCGGCGCCAACCGCCAGCTGCTCGACCAGCTCAACCGCGTCATCCGGGACTGCGGCCGCGTGCTGCGCGACAACTCCGGCCTCAGGGCCGAGCAGGCCAAACTGCAGGAGCGGCTCGAGGAGCTCCCTGCTGTGCCGGCGGCCGTGGCCGTGGCGGTGGAGGGCGCGGGAGAAGTTGAGCTTGATGCTGCCCAGGGTGACATGATCGACTAGATGATGATCGATGTTATTAGTATATGAGAACTTGAATTACCATTTTTGTACCTCTGCTCCGCTGCTCGATGTGGGACGCCATTGTTAGCATGTACGTATTCTTTTAGACATACCAGTGTTGGCATGTACTACTACTAGTACTAGTGGTTCCAAATAAGAAAATGCTGGCATGTAGTGGTGACCTTTCCAGTTTCTTTCATAATCTTCTGTCATCGTCATGTAGTACAAAGGAGGAACTTCATGCTCTCCTTTTTTATTTTTCCCAAGGGCCATGGCAAAAATTTGCGAGTGCTATATATCTCCGCAAATCACAACTGAATTGTCAATTTAAGTTTAAAAACCTCTCTCGCAGAAAAACAAAGATAATCTACCCAGGTGATTTCATGACAGCGATGTAATTGCCCAATCAATTAGCTGGCATCAGCAGCTACTTGACTAGGTTGCATAGATCCTCATCAGGGAGCTATGTAACTGTAAAATCAATGTTACATGTCTCTTGTAACATGAGATTTCTGGATAAGCAAAAGGTTCGAGCAAACGCGTATAGCATAAATTATAGAGCAAATCTGCGCAAACATCATCATATAACAACATCTCATATTTAATGTATTCAAACGTAGTTTCATCCAAAGATGGCAACAAAACAAACAGGCACACCAGATGAAACAGACCAGGCATATTGTCTTTCGTTTAATAACTGACTCGATACAGAAATAACCAATAACTCAAGGTTTAAACACCAAACTGACTCAGATACTGAAATAACCAATAACTCAAAGTTTAAACACCACAAATACGAAAAGCTGAAAAACAACGACAGAGACTTATCAAAGACGCTTAGTAGTAGGGTGGTAGGGAATCGCAGTACTGCCTCTCACTCGTCGTCGTCAGATTCAGCGCTCTGGAGCCACTCCACGACCGGCTTGGCGTTCTTCACCACCTGGGAGTTCTTGCCGGCAGCGACAGCTTCATTGTACCACTGGACAATGGTTTCTTCCTCGAGGACGTCTCCATCATAGAGGGCCTTCAGGACGACGGGGACTTCCTTCAGGGCTTCAGCACTGCACTTGCCACAGAACGCCTCGATAGCCTGGAGCAGGAGCATCTGGGACCCTTCATCAGGCACCGCAGCGGAAAGGTACTTCTTGTTCTTCACCACTTCCTTTGCAAACCCCTTGCCCACGCCGTGGAAGAGTGCCTCAAAGAGAGCATGCATCACGTCCTTGGGGGGCAGGGCTGAGGAGGAGAGGACACCCTTGAGCTGAGCTGCGGTGGCAGCATTGCCCAAGTTGGCCTTGATCTCTTCAACCAGTTCGTCATAAGGAGTGGTCTTGGGCCCAGTCTGGTTGCCATTGGAATTACCTTCAGCCTTTGGTGTCCCATTGGAACTGCCCTCTTTGTGCAGGGCCTGTTTCTTCTTCTTCTCCGTCTCCTCGGTGGCAAGCATAACCATTTCAGCAGTTGCTGCACTCAGCTGCTCCTCCATGCGCTTTCTCGCAGCTTCCGCTGATGTGTCAGTCTGCCACTGCACATCATCATCGTCATCGTCATCATCATCTCCAGCAGCTGCAATGTCAGCACCTTGACTGTGAGTTGGTGAGGTTGCATGTTCTTCATCCGAACCTCCCCCAGCAGCCTTTTTCTTTGTATCCTTGGAAGAAGCACCTTTCTTCTTTGCATCCTTTTTGAGTTTCTTCATCTCCTCATCAGCAGCTTCACCTTCTTTCATCCGCTCCTTCTCAGCTCTTCGCATAGCTTTCTTGTCTTTGCCTCCCTTCTTCTGTTCTGGCGGGTTCTTCAGGATGAATGTAGTGAGCTTGTCCCTCATGTCAACATCAGAGAGGAAGCCACAGGCAGCACATTTCAGAGTTATCATCTCTTTCTTGGAGATGAGGACCTCAGTCTCAGGATTGCCACAGCCATAACACTGCACATACTTCTTGATGAAGTTCTCAAGAAGGCCAGCCAGCTTTGAAGTATCATGAGCACCATTGACCAAGGCAATTCCTGTTTTCTCATCAAATTTTGATTGTGCTCCAAGCTCACATCCAAAGTACTTAGTGGTGTAGGAAGCGGGCCTGGCAAGTGCTTTTGCTATATCAACCATGTTCACAATATTTGTCTTGATGCCATTACCTCGGCCTTCTATTTTTGTCAACATTCTTGGCATCTTGTACCTGTAGAAGGCATCATCCTTGTTTGAAGCACCAATGTTTTGCAGCGCCATCTTGATTCAAGCTTTCTGCAGCAGATGCTATCAGATGTGGAAAATTTCAGAAACGGCAGTAGCTGCGGGCCCTTGAAGAAAACTGAGCTGACTTTTTGCACTGGCTGTAGCAAGTGAACTCTCAGAACCAAAGAACGTAATGGGCTCTTGATGCATGCAGGGGATCACAACCTTGTGCCTTTTTCTCGTCAAGCGAGAATACTCTCCCAGCAATCCAACTGATCCCAAATAAACCGATGCTTGTTCAGACATAAAAGAAGCTTCACCTTCTAGGCCCTCCACTTTGTCAGATTGCAGCGATATAGAGGCTGCTACCTGGATTAAACAAGTCAAGATCAGATATTGCTGATTCTTCATGTAAGATGAGATTACAACAAACTAACTGAATTAAAATTATACCATCACATTACAGAAAGGAGACTAGAGAATCACAGTATCAGTTCACATACAACCAGTTGAAGGCAGAATTGCATAAAGGGGACTACCAAATTTAATGATAAAATCCGGAGCTACATAAACAGTATAGAAAGCACATGCGTGGCTAACATCAACAATGTCAGGTTGTCCCAAGAGGCTAAGATATCTGTATCAACTGGCATAGCTCCATGCAAATTACACAAGTACATCAAACACAAAATAACCAGCATGTTGGCAACAGTCTAGACAGCACAGCATGACCAACACCAACAAAGTCAAGTTGTCCTAAGAGGCTAAGATATTTGAATCAATTGTCGTAGTTCCATGCAAATTACAGACGTACATCCAACACAAAACAACCAGCAAGTTCGCAAGGGATGGTGAAGATGAGTGGACTATAAACTTTTGGGGCAACTCCTGTTCAGGTATCCAAACCACAGCAGAGTTCTACTCTAGTTTTAGGGCACACAGCCATTTAGTCTTGATCACATGCTAAGTCAAGGCATACTGACAAACTCATATTTGAGTACTACAACTAACGATACTGAACATCGTATCTTTAAGGACATGGACCAAAAGCATTGTACATGAAACATTAGCATACACAAGATGAAAGGAAGTTCATAATGAAGATAGCATGTTGAGAAATCAACTGACTAGAGCAGAGAAACGAAGGTAACAATATCACTGCTTTTAGGCGCTCACCAACAAAATAAGTAAGTGGGGTTAGGGACAATCTCTACAATTGCAGACACAGCTGAATTACAAACTGACACCAAAATTAACAGAGCAATCGCACAGGTGACATTCATCTAAACTTGCCTCGCGATATTACCAAAAACTTGCTGTATCAGTTGGTGCTCTAGCAACTAAGAAGAAGAAACCAGGAACAAATATGCACCTAAATATCTGACCTCACAACTAGCAATATGATGGACCCACAACAGAGAAACTGATACACAAAAGCACGGACTATTCTGGAACATCGAAATATGGATACTGATCCAGTATGTGAAGTCATGAACAATTAGGCATACGCCTCCATCAATCAGTGCACACAGAATGCGATTATAAATTTGTGATGCCCGCCCACCCATCCACAAACATGTCGTTCGCTAGAGTTCATACTTGGAATCTATCTATCTACTCATGTGTTTGCGTCGCACCGTGGCTTACCAACAAAACAAGATCGGAGGGGAGGCGGCCGGTGGATCTGGCAGGCGGCGAGACGAGAGGGGCGGATCTGGATGGAGAGGCGAGCGTCGGGCGGCGAGGGGTCCGGCGGGGCGGCGGGAGGAGGTCGCGCCGCCTCGGCTGGGAGAGAGCTGCGCGTCCAGTCGGGCTCGGGGTAGGGATTGGGATTGTGGGGGAGACCTGAGGCCTGAGGGGGAGGCCCGGTATTTATACGGGTGGCACGCGGGCCGTAATTTGCAGGAAAACCTGTGGGCCGGTTCGTAATCGCCGGAGCGGAAAAGATCCAGAAGCGCCCTCCGTCGGTCCGCCCAGCTGTCAGCGTGATTTTGGGTATATATAAAAAATAAGCTTGCTTAAGAAATAGGGTTTGGTTTGGTTTGGCAGCGTTTATTCAGTTGTTTCAGTTGATAGCGTTAGGTTTAGCCTGACAGCGTTTCTTCGGTCGCTTCTTCTTTTTCTTTCCCACCATCAAACCACCATCAAGTTGATCATGATAAGCTAGCTGTACTATATCCAATGACAACCAGAAAAAATGACATGAAACCAGATGGAATGTAAGGCATCCCTACCCCGAAATCCGCGCACTCGATGATCTCCAACTTCAGAAGATAATTCATTTGCAGTTTACTGACTAGAAAGGTTTCACAGAACCAATATTCATCAAGGAACCTCAACCGCAGGAAAAAAGTTAATCAAGGGACTTGGCATGTGTACAAGTTAAAAAAGGGTCCAAAAAGTCTGCAACTGAGTCGAACTGAACGAAACAAACCTTTTGGACGACGAGACGAGCGAGTGTTTGAACAAGGATAACTACACAAGCAAGCTCAAACTTTATCTTCTATATCTAAATAGCTAGCCCCCACTAACATATTTCTCTCGACATGCAAGCATGCCACCTCATCATTCAACATGCATAGGAAAAGGCACACCTCAACATGCAACTATGTATATTAAAAATTCACTTCAACATGCAATCATGTATGCATGTAAAATTCCATTCTATTATACTATTTACATCAAATTCTTATATACTTTCAAAAACTATTATTTCAAATATTGATGTTTCGTGTAACCAAAAACCTCATTGAAATATTGCAAAATATTCCCGCAGCAACGTGCGGGGTATCATCTAGTTCCACTAATTATGGTACATAAAAATGTTACAACCAGGCAACAGCACCAGCACAGGAGTGCTCTTTCAGAGTGACAAGACTGAAAATACAGACCTCGTAGAATCACAGAAAATGGCATCCAAAGCCAATACAGGAAGGCCGGATAATGCCATAATATATAGACTGCTAGCAAGCAACATGAACGGCTCTGATCCTGCTTACTTCTTGGAAGGAATAAGGTAGTTGAGGAAGGGTTCTGCCTTCGGGGCAATAGACTTCACATCATCAAAAGAGGCCATTTCAAAATCCTCATACTCAAAGCCAGGGGCACAAGTGCAGCCAACGAGGGAGTAGTGCTTCTCGGGATCTCGCTTCCGAGAGTTGACAAGATGGCTGCCATCAGATGCAAACGACTCGACATCCAACGTGGGGAAAGATCCAAACCACACATTTGGTGGCACGGTGTACTGGGGGCGCTGCCCAGCGTCTAGGTGCGGACCAATTACGGTGAGGTCAATGTGGCCATCGTCGTGTAGCTCGAAGACCTAATCAAACAGAGAATAGCAGTATTAGCTATATTCAAAATGGCAATCTCACTGCCCATATAAAAGCAAGCGTGCAACTGTCACCAACCGTGAGAGGCTCTCCCTTGTAGAAATGCCAGGTTTCAGCACAAGGAATACGATGCAGATGTGAAACACTCCCTGAAGGAAGCAAGAAATAGATAGCGGTGCTCACAGCACGACCGACCTTGTCTGCAGCATACATAAAGAAGGCATTAGAGGTATTTCAATGGCAGCTTGACGATATGTTCACCTGCCCTCCACTTCTATGATGTACGCCATACAGCACTCGAGACGAAAACAGAGGGAGAGCAGAACAGTCATTTAAACAAGACCTTCTGGTAAACAATTCCAATCAAGAAGCATCAATAGGTTTCCCGTTTAATTATCAGAACAGTATAAGGTAGACAGCCATCAACAGGTACAAATCCAAACATGGAGTTACCAAATTAGCAGAAAGATAAATAGTTCACACTAAATTTGCCTTTTGTGGAGCATATTAAAAAGGAGCAAGTTCCTATCAAGAATGTTTGCAGTAACTGTAACTGTTCTGGCAGCGATAACAGCATGTACTATTTTTGTTAGAAAAAACAACCATCCTTATGCAGCGCCATCCTGCGACATGTTATGATATCCATTTACAGGTTCCAGTGGGCAGTAGAAGCAGAGGAAGTAGGGTAGTGCAATCTTCCTAAAAGCAATCATGCCTGATGTATGTAACAACAGTAGCACACAGTGGCATATCAAAATGTATTTCGTGCCTGATGTATGTAACAGCAGTAGCACAAAGTTATACAGTAGTACTAACTAGTGGTATATCTAAGGCATCATGATACGCCCAGGCCCCAATCCCCTGGCTAACACCCCTGGTTTCTGCGCACTCGATGATGCAGAAGACACAATGGTGGGTTTTACTATCTGAATTCCCACTTGCCAAAATATGCTACTCTACCATCTAAGGTCTCCAAGGTGTCTTGTGCACACGCTAAGGCGAAGAACAAGCAGAGACCCCGATTGAACTGGGCCCAATCCAATCGGCGCATCGCACCGCACACTGCTGCACCTTATGTTTCATCTTTCTGAACAGAAATACTCCGTACTAACCATCCCACTCCATCCGTGGAGACTGGAGAGAGCGATCAGATCAGATGAAACAGACGAGAAATGGGCGGGCGTACACTGCGGCGGGAGCTGGGCGGTGGTGAGGGAGACGGAGGAGTCGCGGAAGGTCTCGGCGTAGAAGCCGCCCTCCGGGTGCGGCTTCAGATCCAGCAGCGCCGCTACCTCCGTGGCCGTCATCTCGCAGGAGCCCATCTCTGTCGCTGTCCGCTTCGAGGTCCCTGGCTTTCTGGTGGCGAGGTAATCTAGGGATCGTTGAGCGGAGCCGGAGCCGCCGGTGATTGATTGGGCTGTTTGTTTATCCGGCTGGAACGTGGGGTGTGCCGTGTGCGCCGGGGAGCGGCAGCGGCTGCGGGGGTTGGTGGTGGTCAAGGTCTCCCCTCCCCTGTGCCGGTCAGCCGATTTGGATACTCTACGTGCTGAACCGGCTGCTCCTTGGCGAACGTTCGCTGGGAGGGAACTTCCAGCGAGCGCCCTCACAGCCGTTTGATCGAGATCAAACGATGGCAGTTTTATGCCTTCTGTAGAAAGGAATTGCATGCTAGCCTGAAAAAGTTGTCACCCCCTATAACTAAAATTGTCATGAAAATCGTTCGTAAATGTCATCCTCCTTAGCAAACGTTCACTAGCTAACAGGTTTTTATAAAGCCTTATTTGTGTTGTTGGGTGCCTGCTAACTCAACATAGCATTCCCTTCTTACTATTAAACTTAGGACTTTGGGTCGAGCTTTTCGGGGTGGCACGGTAGGTCCAAAGCATGACACGATGTGGAGTAAAACTGGTCGTGCTTGGATCGGGCCTGCCTGGTTGGATCCAAAATCTTCATAAGCATGCATTTTGATTATTAGAAGAACTTGTTAATATAGGTATGTCCTTGTAAATAAAAATCAGGGCTTTTTAAATAAATATGTATTTATACACTCTCTCCGTTCCTAAATATAAGTCTTTCTAGAAACTCCACCAAGTGACTACATATGGAGCAAAAATAAATGAATGTACACTCTAAAATATGTCTACATACATCCATATATTGTATTCCATTTGAAATGTCTAAAAAGACTTACATTTAGGAACGGAGGGAGTATTTTATAAGGTGCCTTAATTAGTGATTAAAAAATAAAAAGTGCATGTTGTAGTTAAAAATCTTGATTTAAAATGATGAAATTTAATATTTAGGGGTTGTTTGGTACCATGCCATGGCTTGCCACACCTCAACTTAGGCAAGTTTGACTAAGTTAGGTGTCTGTTTGACTCTAGCCATAACTAAGGCAAAGAAAAATTATGAGCGGTGAGCCACACATGTCATAAAAACAAAAAGTATGGCAAGATTCCCTGAGCCAAACCAAAGTGTGGCTAAGAATTTGAGTATCTCAGGTATGGCAAGTGTGGCAAAATAGTGTGGCAATGTATGGGATAGTCACAATTTAAACATGCCCTTATTTACTGAGTCGTGCTTGGGCTGGCTCGGCCTTAAGGCAGCACGGTGGGGCATTATGTCGTGCTTGGGCCTCCCCTTGGCATGGAAGCATGACACAATAAGTTTTTTTGTTGTTGAGAAACACGACACGGTAAGTAAACCGTGCCAAACTAGCCCCATTTGTCGTGGCCCAAAGCACGATGAATGTGGGTTGGCATGGCTGACCCAAGTCCCAGGTTTACTTCTGATATCCTCCCGGGAAGGAGGGAAGTCGGGTCCACCTTCGCCATCATATTCACACCACTATTTATATTTATTCAACATAAAAGGGAACTTAAAGGACCGAGAGCCACATTAGATATAAAAGTCATGGTACTACACACGCAAGGATTAAAATAGAAAAAAAATAGCAACATGGTCCTTAAAAATTATGAGAAGAAGCTTAAATCATGGATATATAATGCAATTTGGTCATGACATTAAGCTCCAGTGGAGGATCGTACCCACCGTCACCAAGAACAACGCCACTTAGGATGATTAGTTTACCACAAGACCACCACCATCGTCTGATTGTAGGAAAAATGCAGACGCCTAGATGAAATCACATTGCTTCCTAATAGGCTTTCATGCCACGAGGGAGAGAATGGGACAACATTGTAATCAGACACCGAAGCTCCAATGGGTCGCTTTTCGACCAGAACATTCATCGGCGAGGTCGCTGAGACAAGTAGTCAACCACCAAAGACAGTTGTTCTCGCATTATTTCTGGATTTATTTCAGGATTTCCGGCGATGCGCTTTTAGTGAGAGGAGACGTTCCCGTCGACGACGAGGCGCCTACGGTGACTTCGTAAATCTCAAGATGATATGCCGGCTCAGTCTCTCGGATGTGCTCATAGGGATAGGGTGTGCGTGTGTGCGTTCATAGGGATGAATGTATGCGCGTGTACATGAGCGCTTGTGGTTGTACTGATGCTAAAAAAAAGCCCTTTTAGGATGCATTATGCTTAAGTGTTTTTTATTTGACAAAATACAAAAGCTATGGGTTTTAATGCATTAATAGAAAGAATACAAATCCTAGTACCGCCACACCCTAGAGATACAACGCGACACCCCTAGAAGCTAGGCGTGCAACAACCATGTTTTGGACGCACTATGGCTTGTCTACATGAGACAACGCAAAAGCTCAAAAATTCGATGCATTCATAGAAAGAAGAGTTTGTAGAGGCTCCCAGACGAGCCACACCCCGCAGATACAACGCGAAGCCCCTATAAGTTGGCACGTCAAATGTCAGAAGCAGAACTAGTAGACCCTTCGTCCCCGCCAACACCCGGTGTTTGGCCTCCGCTTTGAACGTGTCACGCAAATGTGCTGAGCTAAGCCGAGTGTGGTCAAAGATGATCGTGTTAGGCCTTATACAATGCGAGATGTTTAGGAAAAGTGCTTAAAAATTTAAGCACCGATGCTTATTTGTAAAGAATGAACGTTTAATTAAGTCTTATACAATACAAGATGCTTAGTAAAATAATCTTTTATTAAGCATCAGTGTTTATTTTTACGGGAATAATTAAGTGTATGCCCTCTCAAATAAACATCGGCATTAAAAATGATTTTTTTCTTTAAACACTTCCTTTAAGCACATTGTGTTATACAGACTAAGGAAGGTGTCTAAGGCCTTGTACAGTGCAAGGTGCCTAAAGAAGGTGCTTGATAAAATAAACTAAATTTTTCTTAAGCATCAATGCTTATCTTTATATAAGGGTGCCTAATTAAGTATCTACTATCTACAAGTAAATATTGATGCTTAAAAGAAACTAATTTATTTTTCTAAGCATCTTGTATTGTAAAGGCCTAAGCATTTTGCATTGTACAAGGTCGACGTCTTACTATGCTTACTATGGCTGAATATGGTTGGGCGCTTATCTATGAGGAATTAACGGATCACATATGTGCACACACCTGTGAAGATGCAACGCACTGTGTTGAACATATTTGTGTATGTATCTGTATCTCCTACCAGCCCCGCCTCTAGTTTCTTTGCATAAATAAGGCTAAGAGCTGCCCTTATATCTATATATACATGTACCGTGCACCTGATCAATACATCAAGAGTTGCATTATCTTCAACATGGTATCAGTTTCCCTTCCGATCCAATCCTACCTTCCGCTCCTAGCAGCCACCGCAGCAGCTCCTTGCCGCCGCGCGCGCCTCCCCATCCCCATCCCTCTCCCTCTCCCAAGCCGCCTCCCTCTCCCTCCGGAGCCGCCTCCCTCCCACCCGATCGCCCCTCCCACCCGATCGCCATCTTCCCGCCAGCCGCGCCGCCACTCCTCCCCTCGGTCGCCGCCGCATCCATGGCTTCTCCCCACTCCGCCGCCTCCCACCCCTTCAATCCCTTCGAAGGTCCAGCCCCTCCCCCGGTGGAGGTCGTCCGCGATCTTGACATCTTCGCCCGCGTGCCCGTCGTTCTTGACTACGCCACCTTCACCTACTACGCCTGGAAAACCTACTTCTCCCTCGTCTTCCGCGAGTACCACCTCATCGATCACGTCGATGGCTCCGTCGACTCCGGCCTCATGTTCGCGGACGACGACTGGCTGACCATCGACGCCATCATCACTCGTTGGCTGTACCAAACCATCTCCAAGGACATCTTCCACACCATCGT